GCCTTGCACACGCTAGAGAAGCGCTCTACCACTGAGCTCTGTCTCCAGCTCCCCATTTCCTCTCAAGTGATCACAGACCTGGAGACGACCTTTAGAATTGGCCATTTCACAAAAGGGCGTCTACCCCTGTTCCACACTGGGGCTTTTTCTGAAGACCCCTATTGTTCAGAAAGCACTGCTCCTGAAGCCCTGGGAAGGCCACAGGCAGACAGCAGCAGGTGGCCAGATTTGGCTGCTTCCACTCTGCCCTCCTGGTGGCCCGTAACGCCATTCAATCTGCTCTGCTCTCCCGGCTCCATAGCAAGCCAAGTCAACCCACAGCAAATCAACTCCAAAGAATATGGAAAAATAGCAATAAATAGACACTGTACTTCCCTTGACCTTTAAACTGATTATAGCCCTGATTGCCTTCCAGTTCTGAAGTATAATGAAGTGGCAGTTGTGCATGGGAGAGTGGCCTGGGCTGAGCCAGCGGTGGTCAGAGCCCAAGCTGCTGCTCTGAGGGATCCCCAATGGGATGTGCTCCTACTCTGCAGCCGTTTCTGGGTATTGACTCATTTAAGCCTCACAGTTCCGTTCATGAATCCCATTTTTACTTATGCTCACTTTGGGCCAGGTGCTATGCCAGGGGATGAGACAGGCAAACCGGATCTTTTTCTCATGGAGCCTACATTCTTATGGGGAAGACACAAAACTGCCAGATAAACAAAACCCAGATGCCCAGTCAAGCATCAGCTGGACTTGCCTTGTTGCTCAGAGCTGAGAACTGGACGCCTAGAGGACTCCATGTTTTTGTCGCCTACCCCCCACAATATGGTGATCACACCAGGGGGGACTCTACACTGAGCTACATCTTCAGCCCTTTGTATTTTATTTTTTTTGAGACAAGGTCTTCCTAAGTTTCCCAGACTGACCTTGATCTTTTGATCTTCCTGCCTCAGCCTTCTGTGTGTGCACCAACACATCTGCCTCTGGACTCCATGTTTTAAAAGAGCACAAAATAATTGGGGATCCTGCACCTCCTTAGGGTCTCCACCCTGGCTGAACGTCAGCACCGGGGAAGATCAACACTCAACACTGATGCAGCAATGATGTCAGGATCTCTGGACGTGAGGCACTGGAATTTTTTTTTTTTCACTTAAAAGCTCAAAATAATCGTGAATTCACAAAAGAGTTGCAATAATTGTACAAAAAAACTCCTAGATGCACCAATTTTTTTGTATTTCACCATATTTACGTTGACATTTTCTATGTGTATAGGCACATGTGCTTGTGTAGTACACATTATCTGTTTCTGAATTACTTAAGACCAATCTGCCTATCATGTCCTTTGACCCCTAAAACCTTCAGCATGTATCTTAAGCAAGAGCTGAGGCCTGGGGACGTAGATCAATGGTAGAGTGCTGGCCTAGCAGGGGCAAGGCCCTGGGTTCAATCCTCAGCACTGCAAGAAAACAAATAAATAAGGCAATTTCTTACTTGATCTGAGTTCACTGATCAAAATCAGGAAAGTTAGTACTGTTACTTATTAGCTAATATGAAGCCTGAATCTCAGGTTTAATGTCCTTTATCAATTTTTTTCCCTGGCCAGGACCCAGTCTGGGGTGGTGCACAGCATTCGCCTGCCCTGTCTCTTTGGTCTCCTCTCCTCTTGACTTTGGCATTTTTTGAAGAATCAGTTATTTTATAACATGTCCTTCAATGTGCGTCTCTTTCCTCATTATCACATTCAAGCTATGGATTCTGGACAGGAGTAGCGCATAAGAAATGTGTCCTCTGCACTTCTTATCAGGAGACGCACGAAGTCGGCTTGTCCCTTTCCTGGTGCCTTTACTTTTGAGCATGAGGCCACTCTGAGGGGTAGCTATCTTTCCTTTGCCATCCTGAAGAGGTCTGGCTATTGGGAAAGGAGACCCCAAGAGAAAAAGGCTGGGAGTGGACTGGGGTCAGGTGGTGGTAGAAGAGGGGGAGTCAGGGCAGGTCCTCACAAGGGGGTCTCTGCAGCCTGCTGTTTCCCCTGAGGGAAAACCCAAATGAAACACGCCAAGTCAGAGAGCCCACACAGGGGGGCCTGTCCACAGGTCACGGGTGGCCAAGTGGGCTTGGCTGAAGCAGTGGCAGTCAAGAGATGATGGCAATAGAAAGTGTCCTTTTGTATCTCCCTCTTTCCCACCCAGACCCACAGGAGGGAAGAGACTCAGAAGAGGAGGGGACAGAGGCACAAAGACCAGACAACCCTCTTCCTGTACCCAAGCCCATGGGGGGGGGAGGGGCAGAGGGGCTGGGTGAGCATTAAGGTGGGGTTGAGACTGAGATTTTAAGACTAGACTTTGTGAAATCAGAGCATACAGAAAAGACAAGGAACAACCCGCCCCTAACATGCCATGAAAGAAGGGGACTTCGGAGAGAAGAGCTGAAGGCAGTTCTGGGGCGAAAACAAAACTTGTCTAGATCACCCCCTCTTGAGAGCTCCAATAAACTGATTCCTGCCCCTGGCCCTTAGTAGGGTACCTAGGGCGTCCTCTCTGAGGACATGCGTCCCTGTGTAAAGGATGAGGAGAAGCTCGGAAGGCTGACAGAGCAGGATAGGAAGGGGAACCGTGAAGCCCCAGGTAAGGAGGCATGGCATTTTCTAAGAACTAAAAAGAGACCGGCTGGGCACAGTGGCGCGCGCCTGCCATCCCAGCCACTTGGAAGGCTGAGGCAGGGGTATGGTATCGTGAGTTCAAGGCCAGCCTCAGCCAAAGTGAGGTGCTGAGCAGCTCAGTGAGACCCTGTCTCTAAATAAAATACAAAATAGGGCTGGGGGTGGGGCTCAGTGGTCCAGGGCCCCTGGGTTCAATCCCTGGTATCAAAAGAGAGAGAGAGAGAGAGAGAGAGAGATTGGGGGTTGCAGCCCTCTGAGGCCGGTATGAGTACAGGGTCGTCTGGGACACTTAGAGGACCAAAGTTTGCATGCCTTGTAGTCCACTGAGCTATGGATGACTATTTGCCCACGGTTTTCATATTTGTAAAGTACTACATGGTTATTTAAAAGACTCCAATACTGTACTTCCTTCCCTCTGGTCCAAATTTCCAAAGATAACTATCATTGGTTTTCTTCCAAACTGCTCAGACATCTGTTTTTCATGTGTATATCTTCTATTTGAATAAAAAATTGTAGCTCAAAAATTTTTTTTCCATTTGCAAATATATCATGAATCTCCTTCCACATCACTGGTTAGCTATACCATGGAGTGCTAAACATCGTGACCTCCTCTCTGGCTGATAACCAGAATGATATTCAGAGTATATTAAATGAAAAAGAAGACCATATAACAGAATTTATACATAATCTAATTTTTAATAAAACATGACTAAATATTTATTTGTATTTTTGATACTGGAAAGAGTAATTTAGCAGGATGAACACTAAAACATTAGTTTTAATGGGGTTTCTGGGCCTTACCTCCTTTTCTGGCTACTGCTTTCTTAATTTCCCTACTGTGGATATGTAGCAACTTAAAGTTTAAAATTTTTTTAAAAACTTTAAAGGGAAATGGTGACCCTGGTAGAAAAGAAGTATAATGGGGTTCTACAGAGAAACAGTGCCAATAGGAAATTATAGATTATATACATACAAAGAAAGAAAGAAAGAAAGGGAATTAAGGAATCTTAGCTATAAGGAAGAGATTTACTATAAGGCGTAGGCTCACAGGAATACGGAGATTGGAGAGCCCCACCATCGGCCTTCCTCAAGCGGGAGATCTAGGGAAGCTGGGCTGTGCCTCAAAGGTTTGGCACCTGGAAAGCCCACGGTGTAGAGTCCAGCTCAGGTCTGAAGGCCTAAGAACTAGGAGTATCAGGGGCAGGAAAAAGCCAACGTCCCAGCTCAAACTGGCACAGTGAATTCAGCCTTCCTCACCTTTTGCTCTGTCAGGCCCTCAACAGATTGAATGATGCCCACTATTATGGTCTGGACATGAGTGTCCTCCAAAAGCTCATGCATGAGACAATGCAAGAAGGTTTGCAGGGGAAAGAATTGTGTACTAGTCAGTAAATCAGTCCCCAAACAGGGATTAAGCTGTAAATGAAGACAGAATGTGGCTTGAGGATGTGGTCAATGGGGGTGTGCTTTATGGGTACATAAGTTGTCCCTGGACAGTGGATTCTGGGCTCGCACTCACTCTCTCTCTCTCTCTCTCTCTCTCTCTCTCTCTCTCCCCCTCTCCCTCTCCCTCTCCCTCTCTCTCATTGGTGGTCATGTCCTGAGCTGCTTTCTTCCACCACAACCTTCTTCCATGATATTCTGCCTCACCTTGATTCCCGAGGAATGGAGGCGGCTGTCTACGGACTGAGACCTCTGAAACCGTGAGCCTCCACATAATCTTTTCCTCCTTAAAGTTGTTCTTGTCGGGTCTTTGGCCACAACAGCAAAAGCTGACTAAAACGCCCCCCACATTTGGAAATGAAGCCATCTGCTCTGTTCAGCTCACCAACTCAAATCCCAATTCTAGAAGCATCCTCACAGATGTACCCCAGAAATAATTTTACCAGCTATCTGAACATCCCACGGCCCAGCCAAGTTGACACTTAAGACTAACCATCACAAAAAGGGAGAAGACAGGTACAAAATACCACTTAAGTTCAGGCACACAATCAAAAATTTAAAAGAATGAATGGTTGCAGATATGCTGTTTCTAAAATAATGGTTTCTTTTGTTTTTTTGTTTCATCTTGTTTTGTTTTGTTCGTTTTTTATGTCTTGTAGCTTAAAAACTAAAAACCCGAAAATACAAGGTGACACCAAGGTCACCCCTGAAGGAAGAAAATGACCATGTAAATAATCTCAACTCTGTCATTCCAGGGCAGAATCTTAAGATGTAGTCCCTTGGCCCTGTACAAATTGAGTTCTGTGTAGACACGAGGTCCTCATAACGCCTCAGGGGCTTCCTTCTTGAGCTCAGAAGAAGGATCAGGCTTTTCCTGAAGACACTGAGGACAGTGAGCCAAGCTACTGACCTTTGCGCTCCTGTTTCATCCAGAATATTCTCACTCGATGGCGAATGTACTTGTCCTCCCGTAGCTTCTTCTGCCAGGTACGCAGTTCTTGAACCTCAGGATCACAGCGAACCTGGAAAAGCCCCAGAAAGCTTCAGTCCCTTTTCGGTGTACTTCTGTGCATTACTAGTTTATTAACCCTGTGTAGAAAAGCCTTTATTCATCAATTAGAGATATTTTTTACATAAGGGTTCATTCCTGCCCTGTCCCCAGCACTGGGGGTTGGACCAGGGTGCTCTACCACTGAGCCACATCCCCAGCCCTTCTTCTTTTTGTTTTGTTTTGAGACAGGGTCTCCATAAGTTGCCCAGGCTGGCCTCGAACTTGCAATCCTCCTTCCTCGGGCTCTTGAGTTGCTGGGGTTACAGGTGTGTGCTGCAGTGCCTGACTGGACACACTTTTGACTCTCAAGGAATCATTGCTCTAACTGCATTATCTACATTCCCAAAGCTCACGTTTGAACATAAATGAGGTTTTATGAATATTTGTTATAGTAATGGTAGGTTGGGTGCATTCTAGATCTATGTTATCCCCTAGAAATACAATGTAGTCAACATGTTTAAATTTCCTGTCTCATTTTTTTAAAAAATGAGATTATTTTTTAAGAATATGTTTTATTTAACCTAAAATATCCAAAAGTTTGCCATTCATTTCAGCCATTCAATTTATATTGATGTAATCAATATAAAATTGAGATATTTCACTTTCTGTTTTCCATGCTAAATATTCAGCATATGGTGCATTTTTGCACATACAGTGAATCTGTCTGGATAAGTGCTCGGTAGCCTCATGAAGCTGGGGCCTACTGTACTGGATAGCACAGTTCTAGATTGATCTCTGTAAGTAGATTAACCCCAGCTCCATCCACTTTACACCAGGTGACTGAGTATCTACTTCATGCTAGGCCTGAGAAGGAGACAATGATTAATAGCAACTGTAGTAACTATTATATTTGCTTTACTCGTATACCTCCTATGTCCTAGGCATTATGTATTTTTACAAATTTTAGCCAGGCATGGTGGCAAATGCCTGTGATCCCAGTGACTCATGAGGCTGAAGCAGGAGGATCCCAAGTTCAAGGCCAGTCTCAGCAACTTAGTGATACCTGGGCTCAAAATAAAAAATAAAAAGGACTGGGGACATAGCTGGGTAATGTAGCAGCTCTGAGTTCAATCCCTATACTAAGAAGAAAAATTATTTTACAAATTTAAATCATTAAATAACCCGATGAGGCAGGAATGACGATTCCTTTTTTTATAAATGAGAGAACTGGGTTGCCAATGCTTAGAGTTGGGAATGGAGCTGGGATCCACACTTTGGCAGACGAGCCTTTGAGAATCAGGAGCCTAACAGGACACAGGAGCAACATCCACAAGGAGTGGCAGGAGAAAGATACCAGGGAAAATGTGTAACTAAGAGGAACCAATTAAAAAAAGAAAAGGAAAGAAAGATATCAGTAAGTCTAAGGGAACAGGGTTGGAATCTAACCAGCCTGGAGTGGTCAGGCAGGAGGTGACTCCTGAGGTGAGTTTTGAAGAATGAACTGGAGTTAGTCTTGGGGAGAAGGGGTGGAGTGGACTGGTGTCCGGGACAGAGGCCAGCCTGCACAGAGGTATGTAGGCACGAAGCAGTCCTGTTGACTAAGATAAAGGACAAGGTCAAAAGCAGTAGAGGGTTTGGAAGAGCCACAGCCACTGAGGCCCAACCCTGTTCCAATCATCCCTCCACCTCTCCACTTGCCAGAGGAGGTGCTCCTTACAAAGTGGACCCCAAGACCAGACGTTGGTGGCTCTACACACATGGATGTGTGTCAACTTTTTTTTTTTTTTTTAAAGATAAGTTAGAGTAGCAAAAGAATGTCAGGGAACATTCTGGAAAAGGAAAGACCACTTTTTCAAAGAAGTTGCCATGGTAACCAGCACCCATTCAGCTCTGGGTCAACTATTAAAGACAGCCACGCTGGGGGGCTCCCTTACTAAATCAGCTCTGCTCACTTAAAATGGGGTGGTAGCGTCATGTTCAGGGGAACAGTAGCCTGTGCTGAAATTAGTATGCGAACTGGGGAAGTCACATGCCACTAGATCACTGTGGCCCTCTCCTGTCCTCCCAGGGTTCCCAGGTGCCCAAGGGGATGGTCTGCTGGCTCTTCTGCCCTTGAACCTTGACTCTGACAGTCAGGAACTAGCACCTCAGCTGCTGGGAGGGAGCAAGAGGAACAGAAGCAGAAATGGGGACCTCATATAGCTCAGGACACAGCGTCTGCAGGGCTGGAGTAATGGGAGCCAAGAGAGGTGACGCTGGGCAGCACAGGCTTGTCTAACTGGGAAGCTGCTCCCTCACTACTGATCTCATGATGCTCCCAAGCCAGTCTCTGCTTTTACAGGCCACCACTGGGTCAGTGACCCACCCAAGTCACTGGGCTGCCTTCTTCAGTCACTGCAGTCCTTTAAGGGAGCCCAAGCCTAGGCTCTCAGGTTCCACCTTTTTAAAGTCACCCACACAGTCACCTCCCCATGCCCCAAAGGGCTCATTGAGTCAGGTTTCACCACTAGCCCCCTCGCAGCCCCCAAACCACCATTCTCTCCTGATTTACTCCTATCAACAAAGGTCCACCTCTTCTTCTTCTCTTGATAATTTTATTTGGGGGAGATTTATTGTCCTTGTGTCCAAGAGCAACAAGTAACCTAATGGTTTCCCTTTTCAAAAAGTGATCAAATACATACTACGTAATATATACCATTTTCATCTTTTAAAGTATACAGCTCTGGGGCATTAAGGACATTCGCAATGTCATGCAACCATCCGTGCTCAATGTCATGGTCTGGACATGAGATGTCCCCCAAGAGGTCCTCTGTCAGTACTAGAATGTTCAGAAGTAAAACGATTAGATTACGAGGACTGTAACCCGATGGTTTAGTTAGCATCTGTGTCACTGTGACCAAAATACCTGACAAGAACAACTTGGAGGAAGGAAGGTTTATTTGGGGCTCATGGTTTCGAGATCTCGGTCCATAGCTCTGGGCCCAAGGTAAGGAGGAACATCATGACATAAGGGCATGGCAGAGAAGAGCAGTGCCCCTCATGCCTGGGTCAGGAAGCAGAGAGACAGAGGGAGAAGGAGGGACCACAGAAAGAACGACCCTCGGGGCACACCCCGGTGACCCACCTCCTCCAGCCACATGGTACCTGCCTCTCATAATTCTCACAATTCAGTCATTTCACCTCTGAGCATTCTGCAGAAACAAAGGAGACTGGGGAGGATGACTCACATCCAAACCACAACACCCAATCAGTGGATTAATCCACTTGATGGATTCATAAGTTGTGGACCACTGTACTTGGGTGGTAACTGTAGGCAGGTGGGGCATGGCGGGAGGTGGTCATCACGGGGGGCGTGGCCTTTGGGGGTTCTATATTGTCCCATCGGCTCCTCCTTTTGCTATCTGCTTCCTGACCACACCATGAGGTAAGCAGCTGTCCTCCACCACTGACCTTCCGCCATGATGCTTTGCTCTACCTTAGGCCCAAAGGGAAGGAGTCAGCAACTTCTGAAACTGTGAGCTCCAAACAAACTTTACCTCCTCTAAGTTGGTCTTGTATTTTGGTCATAGAGACAAAAAGCTGACATGCTCATCTAGTTTCAAAACACTTTCATCAATTCGAAAGGAAACTCCGGACCTGTCAAGCAGTCACTCCTCATCCTCCCCGCACCCACCCCTGCCACCCACCAATCTGCCTTACTTCCCAGAGTCTTAGGCATTTGCTGATTCTGGATATTTCATATAAATGAAGTTATACACTCTGTGAGGCCTTTTGTGTCTGGATTCTTTTACTTATACAGTGCTTTCAGGTTTACCCACATGGTAGCGTGTATCAGTACTCCATTCCTAAGATTCCACTGTACAGTTATACCACATTATTCTTGTCCCTTTATCTCTTCATGGACATTTGAGTTGTCACCTTTTGGCTATTGTGAACAGAGCTTCTATGAACCTTTGTGTCCAAATTTTTGTTTAATCACCTATTTTCCTATAGTCATTGGATTCTCAATTACCTAAACATTCTCAAACAAAAACACCCATTTCCACAACATCAGGAAACCGGAGGCTGTTCACAGGCCTCTGCTGCCCAGTGTGGTGTGACTTTCCTGTTTGGCCAGAGACTCCTCCCTCTGTTCCTTGACTTCCTTCATTTTGCACCAAGGGCTGCTGTTTACCCGTGGAGAACACAGCAGCCCCGCTAGTTACTGCCTCATTGCCAGGAAAGCCTGGATCTGCAGAGAAGCCTTTTGTGAGCCCTGGGGAAAGCATGCGCCCATTGAACTAGCCTAATCCTAGTCATTATTACCATGATTAGAGAATCAATTTAAAGGGCAGCTGTTGTCCAATCAGCAAATACCACAGAGTGCAGTGAGATGTTTAATACATAAGCAAGGTCGTTACCAAACAAAGGCTCCCCTACCAGTGGCTTTCTATACACTTTGTTTATTTATTTATTTTTGTGGTACTGGGGATGGAATCCAGTACTCTATACTCTTTTTTTTTTAAGTAGTACTAGGGATTGAACCCAGGCGCTCTATACTAGTGAGCTTTGTCCCCAGCCCTTTTAATTTTTTGTTTTGAGACTGGGTCTTCTAAATTGCCCAGTCTGGCCTTGAACTTGTGACCCTCCTGACTCTACCTCCCAAGTAGCTGGGATTATAGGTGGGTGCCACCATATCCAGTTACCTACGTTCACATTTTAAAATTACTGTTTGGTGTCCACTTGCTCTTTCAGAATAAGCACATGTAGTATAATATACATTATCAGGCACTGGATTTTGGAGTAAGACAAAAACAAAAAAAAATTCCTTTAGGCAGGTGTAAAAATTTTTAAAAATCCTATGAAATCATCAAATTCCTTTTATTATATATGACTCTGATGAAAGGCACCCTAGGTACCATATTGGATTAAAAGTCTACTCCAAATCAGACACTCTGAGGATGAATCTCAGCTCTGCAAATTACAAACTGAGGAACCTTGAGCAAGTCACTGAAACTCTCTGAGCCTTGATTACCTCAACTGTCAAATGGG